TGATTCCCTAAACATTACATCTGCGTTCCCTAGCAACAGATGGGTTTATTCAGTACGTTCTTACTGGGATGTAACATATTACACAGGTTAAATCATAAAATAATGTTCTCATCAATTATTACCCAACAAATAAGTGTCTTTATATACACCTTAATAGTTTTCATCTCAGTTCACTTTATACAAAGTCTATTCATTTCTGATGCACTTTTACACCCCAGTTTCATACAGAAAGTTTATATTTGATATAGCAACCTGACCGTACACATAGATACCATAAATATAAACATCACCTATATAAACAACAATGTCAGTATTATTGGAAACCATCTATTACATTCCTTGAAACATTCCTAAAAATATGCAAATAATTAATATTTTGTAATTGATAATCTTGATATAGAACAAGTTCAATATTAACAAAACACGTGTTATTGCTAAAGATATACTGTGTTGCTGTAAGACAGGAAAGCAGCTTCACACAACTTCTTGTATTCTTAGATTACCCTTGGCAACAAAAAAATGTTTTATTCATTTAATTATTCACAAGCCAAATATAAACACTGTCTTTCGTTACCAAAACAACTACTGAATAAAGGATTAAATAATTATATTGAAAAAGTATATTGCAAAACCCTATAATTATTCTATGGGATCGCCTAATTACATTAAGAAAAACAAAATGCATGGGGCACAAGTTAAGCAAAGTTGAAGGCAATAATTAAATTTTAGAGCAGCACACATTTTAGTTATATTTGAAAATGCATCTGCTTTCACTCCATATTAAATAAAAGACAAAACCATTCTACTTTCGAAATTCAAATTCACAAAACTTTGAGAACAAAACATTTGTCATAAGTGCAGAGTTAAATTGTATAAAGGGTCATTAATTATCAAACTGTATCACTTTTCACCGTATTCAGCTAATTTGACAAAATATAAAAGGCTGCTATGTGCAAAAGTCTTTTTCTCTCCTGACTTTGTTCTTTTGATTTTTTATAGATCAAAGGGAAAAAAGGGGTAAAGAAAAATTGGCAGGCAAAGATATACATTGTTCTAGTGACAAGATGACTATCCTAAAGAGAATGCATGCTCCTTGCAAGTGGCTGTAAAGCAAGGGAAAAACTCACTTTTCAGTCCTTGCTACACATTGTCTTAGAGGGGTCTGTCCATACAGTATGTTGTCATGGCAACGCAACCTGCTGTTGCACCAAAGTTTAAACACTGAATGGTTGAAGTGACTGGCGTTAGCCACTGCAGAATAAACAATATTTTGATTCATTGGAGAAAAAGAAGGTTAAAAAAAACAAAAAAGAAAAAAAAAACAGTGCATGAATGCTTTCATTGTCCAAGCTTTTCTGAATCTGATTTACCATATCATAACCCCTAGGAAGAAGAAAACATCAATATCCCTAAGGAATGGAGATGTTTCTATGGAAAACCTAGGAATTTTAGTCCATAACAGATCTGGTGTAAAAATCAAAGAGATCAAAGGCAGAGCTCCCGGGAGTATAGATGCGTTTCTGAATTAAAGATGTACTATGTAAGACTACAAAGTACCTCTCTCTTTATATGGGCTTCTATTCAGTTTCAAGCAAAGGCTGTCCCAACGTCATATCTGAAACAGACAGACAGCATTGTACATGTCTGCCAAGGTAGATAAAATGAAAATTGAGAGTCAGTTTTTTTTTTCTGAAAGCATAATTGATTAGAAACTTATTTCAAGTACTTAATTTTGGTTGACACCCTAGCAACTGACAGAAGTCCTGTGTTAAGAGCACAAACCACAATCCTGATGGAGAGGGGTCTGCACAACACCTTTCCAGGATTTTTGATGATTGGAAAGGTCAAAAGATGCTCAGGTGACATCATCAATGCTAATTAAATGCAGTGTGCAATCTTATATATATATCTTTAGAACACCGTTTACAGCCAATTCATAATAGGTGCAGACTATTTTATTTATTTAAATCATGCTGGATAAAATTTATATGAATCCAGACTAACATATTAATAGTTTATAATTATTTTTGAACATTTTTATTTTCTTAAAATTAGTAGTAAATACCAAGTTTTGTTTTCAATTCTGACCAGTTGAGTGTTTTGAAGCTAAAATCTAAATGTTCAACGTTAGTTAATAAGAAACCTGTATTATATTCCAAATATAATAAATTATATCAACGCATCCAATGCCAGAGGAGTGGATGTGAACAGGAAGGGGTTAATGCTTGGATGCCAATGGGAGCTGTAGATCAGCATAGGCCTGCCAGAAAAAAAAACAGGTTATGCAGGACAGAAAATATATTTGAAAAGTTTGGACAATTGTTAAATAAATACAAAAAATAAATCAAATAAAATAAAACAAACAAACAAATAAATCTCCAAATGAAAAGAAAGAGATTGTTTCAAATGTGGCTGTTTTAGACTACATTTTGCAACTAGTCAGTGAATCAACCCCTAATTTATCCTAGCCTACAAAGAAGGATATTCGATTTGTGTAATAATTTAAATACATACTTTGGAATATTTTTTCATCTGCCACCAGCTTGATATCTGCACTCCTGTCTAATTACTTGGTTTCATTTTATTTTTATGATTCTGTAAAATAATTTATAATTAAGGCTACATGGTAGCTATGAGTCACTCCCCATCTGCATACACAGTAATATACTAATAAATAGTAAGGGTTGATATTACAACAGTCTTCATCTGCATAAATAATCTATAATAGCTAATATGGAGATACAAAACTGCAGAAGCAAGACTGATACTGCTACAAGTAGATCATTTATCAAAATCCTGTCCATTTTACATATTATTCTTTTAATTGTTTTGCTATGCTATGCGTAGCATGGGGCCCTGAGAAGGATATATATCAGGCCAGCATTGTACAGACCTACGCCATGTTTGGAAGGAGTTAGGTAATGCAGAATTCTTTTGGGAACTCTAAAAGTAATATTTATATGCAATAATTAAGGAAATTACATTTTGACAACTAAATTGTTGCTACCCATTGTTGATCTTCTTATTTTGTTTTCTGGAGCAGAATATTAGTCTCTATGAGACTAGTTGGCTGGCCAAGAGTGTTATTAAGTATAGCCCAGCAGCAATGGAAGAGCCACAAATGGGTGAATTATACTGATGACTTATAATGCTCTTAAATTAATATATAACTTGTACACATATGCCCAAAAATCATTTCTTCTTCTTTTCTAATAGGACAATAATAGGACATGTTTATGAAGATCAAGTTGATAGTACATATGCGTGGTGACTTTTTAATAACATTCTTTTCATTTTAAGATGTATCTACCTAAAAAATATATATTATAATTATTATTTTGAGATGAATGTGAAATGCCACTATATTCTTTATAGCTGATCAAAAAAAGGACACCCCCCAAAAAACCCAAAACAAGAAAAAACAAAAACAAAACAAAAACCTTTTGTTACATAAGTCTGCCAGGCTTCCTTACTCACACAAAAAACAGCTGTGAATGAGACAACCTCTTCAGGAAGGAGTGCTTGAATGAAGTGTATTCAGCAAACAATAATTCTATTATTTAATGGCACAATCAGTCTACACCTTGAGAGTGGCAGCGTTTGTGCCACCGCACCAGTGTATAGAAAGCACTGAAACCCAGTTACTGCAAGGCATGACACATCATCTTACAAGAAGTGCAACTTACTTTCCAAGAACAGAAGATTAGAAGATGGGATACGTGCATCAAGCTTCTTGTAAATAAAGGATCAGAAAAGTATTAGTCACATAGACATGGGTGTCATGCATAGAAACAATGACAGACACTACAGACAGGACAGTCATTCTAAATAAACCATGTCTTTGATGACTCAGGGAGACTAGGGACAGAAAAGACCCTCGATGAGTCACAAAGAATTAATATTCAGGATTGGGCCCAATACAGAGATATACCTTGAAGTCAGTCAATGACTGCCATTATAGCTGTTAATTGTAAATCACAAATTGTGGTATTCATTTTCATGTGATGGTACTTTTTATTTCAAATCTACACCAGTGTGAATAAAACATTGAACATCGCCTATCACTTAACATTAAACATTTCTTATGAGACTCTCCATTTTTTTTTAAATTTATATTACGGATTTAGAAAATCCCATCATTATCCAGTTCAGACAAAGCAACACTAGGACAAAAATTGCAAATGAAGAGGTAAATAGAAACATTGTTTATCTTCTCTGTACAATTTTGATGCAGATTGCCAGGTGTAAAGAACAGACTTTGTAACAATGATTGACGGAAATACATATTTGTTACATATACGGATAATGACATTTCTCTTTAAAAAAATAAAAAAGTGACATCACAACTAGTTCAGTTCAGACACAAATAGAGCACTCATTGTAATGGAGAAGGAGAAACAAAACTATTATTTATTTTTTCTTTCTCTGCTCTCTCTATGACTGTGAGGGGCAAAGAACAAAACAATGATTGACAGTAAACAAAGATGAAGGTGCTCAGTTCCAGGATGGAAGCATATACACTGATCAGCTTCAACATTAAAACCACCTGCCTAATATAATGTAGGTCCTGCTCGTGCTGTAAAAAATATCAAGGCAAAACAAGACCACTGAACGTATCCTGTGGTATCTGGTACCGAGACATTAGCAGCAGATCCTTTATTTCATGCAAGTTGTGAGGTGAGGCTTTCATGCATCAGATTTGTTGTTCCAGTACACCACACAGAAGCTCAATGGGATGAAATATGGGGAATTTGGAAGCCAAGGCAACACCTTGAACTCTTTGTCATGCTCCTCAAACCATTCCCGAACAGTCTTTGCAGTGTGGCAGGGTGAAAGAGGCCACTGCCATTGGGGAACACAAGGGGTACATGGTTTGCAACAATCTCTAGGTAGGTGGTACGTGTCAAAGTAACATCCACATGAATGCCGGTATTCTTCCCATAATGCATCTTGTTGCCATTTATTCTCCAGATAAAACTATGCACACTTCCCCGGCCATCCACCTAAACTAAAAGAAAATGTAACCAGGCAACTTTCTTCCACTGCTCTGTGGACCAGTTATAATGCTCACATCCACAATGAAGGCTCTTCCAGCACTCTGGCTCATGGGCACTCTGACTGTTCTGTGGCTAAACGGCCCCATATGCAGAAAACACTGATGTCCAAAAACCTTTCTATTATGACCATCACTAGCTTTTTAAGTAATTTGTGCAACAGTAGCTCTTCTGTGTGATCGAACCAGACGGGCTAGCCTTTGCTCCCCATGTGCATCAATGACCCTTGGGCACCCATGACTATGATTCCACACTTTTGGTAGGTACTTAGCACTGCATACTAGAAAAACCCCACAACACGTACTGTTTTGGAGATGCTTTGACCCAGTCATCTAACCATCATCATTTGGCCCTTGTCAAAGTCACTCAGATCTTTTTAGTTGCCCATTTTTCCTGTTTCCAAAACATGGAATTCAAGGCTGTTCACTTGCTGTCCAATATATTACATAGCTTGACATGTGCCATTGTAATGAAATAATCAATGTTATTACTTCACCTGTCAATGGTGTTAATGTTGTGGCTATCCAGTGTATGATTGTATGAATATTTATATTTAATTTCATTTTAAGACCTCACAAACACTTATTTGTTAAATATAGGTGATAAGTCAACATAACACAAAACATTCTGGGATGTGACAGTTCCCTACAATTCAGGCCAATAGGTAATAGAACACTAAGCATTTTACACAGAGCTGATGTTTATTGGACAGTGATGTTTTGTTTTGCCTACTCTACTATTCCAATGACTTCTTCAAACATTGAGTGAATGCATATATATGTTTGATGAATTTAATCAACTTATTGAAATTCCAATGGCCTTACAAGATATACTTAAAGCAAAGTAGATATTATGTTGCCTTACTTAATTGCAAATCCTTGGCAAAAGGCATCATCTTGTGTGATGTCCAGTAGATGCCTCCACATACAACATTTTGCACTCTTACACGTGTATGAGAGTATAATAGTGATGATGAAATTACTAAGAGCTGGAAAAGTATGGTGGCAATAAGATGGCAGTGCCGAGGAAGGGCAGCTTAAGGTAAGAACATCTTCTTAATGGCTCCCTGTGACGAAAGAGACTTCGCCTCTGGGTTTTGGAGGGGACTACTTGCCAGCCCTTTACCCTGTGACTATGGCCCCTTTAATTTATTGTGGTTGAGAGACCCTATTTGTGCCTATTGGGACTTTAAACAATTGTTCTTCGAACTTTCAAAGTGGTTCGAGGTGCCACTTTGAACCACCGAACAGCCGGACCAAACACAAGTGAAGTGTGCAGCCTATTTACCTCCCAAGCTGGTAGTTAACCACAGTCAAATTGACTAACGGCTGGGTGGGCGCCGTTCGTATAGTCGAACACGTGGCGGCGGCCAACTTGTTTAGTCGAATGTGTTCAGCTGGGTTTTGTGGTCGAATTCATGGAACTCAAACCGGACATGTGAGGGCATGAACACTGCTGAACTTCCATGGAACTTCGGCTATTTGAACAGAAGTCGAATGGAGTTCGGTGAACAGAAACCCACGAACAAGGGACACACATTGACTATGGTCATTTACCACTCCGTTCGGTAATTTGAATGGTACTTTGACATTTTAAAATAGACTTCCAGGAATTTCCTGAACCCCTGCTCTGATCTGGTGATTTTTGGATATGTTGTTCACCCAGATCAGGGCTATCAAGGGATATGTTGTATTTTGGGTTACTTATTGGACTTTGTAAAAATGTGGTTTTTTTCTGCCTGGGAATAATTAAGTTAATGCATTATCTGCTTTAATTATATCACAGGCAGAGGGAAGGGATTGTATACTGTATGTGGGAGTGTCATTCATTGTCACATTGTTTTTATTGGCTTGTACACTTTGTGTCCCTGTGCCCAACAAGGTCCACCTGGGCGTTACCCTTGTTGGGAAACTTGCATAAAAGGCCAGTGTGCTTCCATTAAAAAGGGAGTTCCTGTTTTACCCTCAACAAGTAGCCTTGTCTCGTGATTGGAGGGGAACTGCTATATCACTACTAGCTCTTGTAAAAGCTGTTCCTGCTACACTCTCTGGAGTAGGAGATATCTTTCCCACATGGTCCTGGATGTCAGAGGTTGATGCAGGGTGAAAGGAAGATGGCAAGATTCCAGTTAAGCTATGGTGGTTGTGGAGTCTGCAGTGCTTGTGGTGTCCGGTGCGGTGCTTATGGTCCTTAGCGTCAGCTAGGAAGCATCTGTTGGCGGAGTGCCAGGTGATCTGTCACACTCACTTTGATGTCCTCACCAGCAAACATATCACTTTGTTGGGTCTTTCAATAAATGAAAAGAACCCAAAAGTGACAGTTCCACTTTAAATACGCAGTCTAGAATTTCACAAGTGAACTGTTTATTAAAATGTGACTTGCCAATTGACCTTTTGAAAAGAATTCCTTAAAAACATTAATACAAGTATGTTCAAGTAGACTGTTAAATGACAGCGTATGAAAAAATGTGACATTACTTGGCCATCTAGCGGACAATTTAAAGAGGAACTGTCACTCCTGTGCAATTTACATAGAAACATAGAAACATAGAAACATAGAATGTGACGGCAGATAAGAACCATTCGGTCCATCTAGTCTGCCCAATTTTCTAAAAACTTTCATTAGTCCCTAGCCTTATCTTATAGTTAGGATAGCCTTATGCCTATCCCACGCATGCTTAAACTCCTTTACTGTGTTAACCTCTACCACTTCAGTTGGAAGGCTATTCCATGCATCCACTACTCTCTCAGTAAAGTAATACTTCCTGATATTATTTTTAAACCTTTGTCCCTCTAATTTAAGACTATGTCCTCTTGTTGTGGTAGTTTTTCTTCTTTTAAATATATAGTCTCCTCCTTTACGGTGTTGATTCCCTTTATATATTTAAATGTTTCTATCATATCCCCCCTGTCTCGTCTTTCCTCCAAGCTATACATGTTAAGATCCTTTAACCTTTCCTGGTAAGTTGTATCCCGCAATCCATGAACCAGCTTAGTAGCCCTTCTCTGAACCCTCTCTAAGGTATCAATATCCTTCTGAAGATACGGTCTCCAGTACTGTGTACAATACTCCAAGTGAGGTCTCACCAGTGTTCTGTACAATGGCATGAGCACTTCCCCTCTTTCTACTGCTAATACCTCTCCCTATACAACCAAGCATTCTGCTAGCATTTCCTGCTGCTCTATTACATTGTCTGCCTACCTTTAAGTCATCAGAAATAATCACCCCTGAATCCCTTTCCTCAGATGTTGAGGTTAGGACTCTATCAAATATTCTGTACTCTGCCCTTGCATTTTTACGTCCAAGATGCATTATCTTGCACTTATCCACATTAAATGTCAGTTGCCACAATTCTGACCATTTTCTAGTTTACCTAAATCATTTGCCATTTGGTTTATCCCTCCTGGAACATCAACCCTGTTACATATCTTAGTATCATCAGCAAAAAGACATACCTTACCATCAAGACCTTCTGCAATATCACTAATAAAAATATTAAAGAGAATGGGTCCAAGTACAGATCCCTGAGGTACCCCACTGGTGACAAGTCCAAGCTTCGAATATATTCCATTAACTACAACCCTCTGTTGCCTGTCACTCAGCCACTGCCTTACCCATTCAACAATATTGGAATCCAAACTTAAAGATTGCAGTTTATTGATAAGCCTTCTATGTGCAACAGTGTCAAAAGCCTTACTGAAATCTAGGTAAGCAATGTCTACTGCACCACCCTGATCTATAATTTTAGTTACCCAATCAAAAAAATCAATAAGATTAGTTTGGCATGATCTCCCTGAAGTAAACCCATGTTGTCTCTGATCTTGAAATCCATGTGTTTTAGATGTTCATCAATCCTATCCTTTAACATGGTTTCCATCACTTTCCCCACTACTGAAGTAAGGCTTACTGGCCTATAGTTGCCCGACTCCTCCCTATTACCTTTCTTGTAAATGGGCACAACATTCGCTAACTTCCAATCTTCTGGGACTACTCCTGTTAACAATGATTGGTTAAATAAATCTGTTAATGGTTTTGCTAGTACACCACTAAGCTCTTTTAATAGCTTTGGGTGTATTGAAAATAATACTGAAAATCACCTATAATTTGTGACAACCGTTTTCTTTTACATTTTTATTAATGATTTAGAAAATTACATCATAATCCAGTTCTGACAAGGCAAAGCCAGGGCAAAAACTTGCAAAGGAAGAGGAGAACTAGAAACATGGTTTAACCTCTTCACTTCTCTGTGTGCTTTCTTTATTCTCACTGCCAGGTGCAAAGGACGGAGCTTATAACAATAATTGTCTAAAGAGCAAAGATGGTGGAGCTCAGCTGAAGGATAAAGAGATGTGAATTTCTCAACTGAATTTTTTTTTTCACATCTCACAATTTAGGATGAGTAAATATAATATTAAAAATCCAGGGAAGTAACTGTTCCTCTTTATAGAATACTTGATGTTTATTTGATCTATTGCAACTAGTAAGTAGACTACATGCCCCAAAGGGAATTACCAAATAAATAGTTTCCAGTAATATGCTATCCCATAGATAGGGAAGGTCCAGGTTTTCATTAGACCCAAACAGGATTATATATAAAGAATACAAACCGATCAATAGTGTTAGCTTAAGGGAAATATTATATGGAATGAATTTTGTGACAGATATTCACGCAATACAGTTTGTAGTTTACAGAAAATTGTCCTATCAACAAAACCATCCACAAGGCAGTAGTTGTCTTGGTGAACATCTTTGTCAATAAAAGAGGTCAGACAAGAACATTCAAAGAATATGACAGAAAAATCACAAATGATCAAACAGCCCTTTCTTTGAAATAGTGGTGACCAAAATCTCTAAACCCATCAAAACCATTGCAAGAGCAAATGGGAACTTAAATTGACCTTTATGAGCTAAATTACCTTACCATTGGTTAGTACTGCTGCACATAAGTTAGCATAAGTACATTGTGTGGCATGAAGGAGATATAAAAGAAATTGCCTGCTATGAAAGTTGTCCAAATGGCAAATGGCAAGTACAGAAAACCAAGATAAAAAAGTGTGCAGATGGGAAGAGTCACCCTTATGGGACCTTGAACCAGAAAACTGTGAGTTTATAAGAAATGGAAAGTGTCTGGTAGACAAAAAGCCGGTCATTATTTATAATTGTACATAAAAGATGGAGCCTATTTTAATCTCCTTTATTAAGATCTAGAACCTGAAGGCCATATCTTTCACAATGTTATATCAGAGCATGTTTGAGCTCTACCACAAGTGAGCTCTATAAGGATCATACTCTTGTATATATGTTATTTATATAATTTGTTTATTATTTTCAAATGTATTATTTCTTCCTTACAAAGCTTAGTGCGTACAGCTTTAGGTAATCATTTTTATAGTTACTTTGTGGTGAAACAATGGCTGTTTTTTCTGGATGCACCATTGTGTCCTCAGCTAAATCACAGGAAATTGGGTCTGTTAGCAAAAATACATATTATTCATACTTTAGAACATTTAGAAATGTATTCATTTTTGGATAAATTGGAGATTTCATTTTCTTACACTATGCTATTTTACAAGTCTGTTCTCAAATTTAAATAATTCCCACTTTATAGAATAAACTAGCTCCATTGTGAAATTATGTGTTTTTGATGTTAAAAAAATGTCATTGTTCTTTTTCACAAATTTTATCTATAAGAGTTCATCAAATATACCAGATCTTGCATTAAGGACTAGCTTGCGTACACAAGTCATTGATGAAATGCTGCCTGATGATATGTAACGTATTTCCTATATTTGTATGTATATGACTTTAATGGACCCAAGCAGGGCAATTCACTGCAATAGGTAAGTTTACAAATTGAAAAAATTTTGTAGACAGAAAGGGATTCTGTAGGGTCTGTGGATCTATTTCAAAATATTTCCCAGTTCAACTAGTTTTGCCTACATTTTTCAAGCCTGTTGCCAAACACCCAGGCCTGTTAAATACTGCTGTTGTACAACTTGACCTTCAGGAAAACTAATATTTCCTATTGTTCACCAGTTCCCCAAAACAAGTAATTGTTCCTTGGTTCTGACATATATACTTATATTTCAATATTACCAAAATACATTTTTTTATATATAATTTATTTCATAAATCCTTAAAACCAATAAGCAGTTGGTTTAGTTGTCTTTTCAATGCTCTAGTTGTAACAATAGCAAATCATGTCTGTTCAATATATAAAAAAATAAACAAAAGAATAAATGTAACAAATGAAACCAACAAAACATAGAATTAACTGCATTGTTGGCTCTTATGATGATGAATGATTTGGATCTGCATTTCACAGCTCTGTTGAAATAAAGTGTTTCTTTCTTTTAATGATTGATTTACATTAGGTTTTTGGTGCTTAATATTACTGTTTTACACTGTATTAAATGCTCAGACTAAAAAATATACATAAATAAATAAATAAAATAAATGAATAAAAGAAAGTGAGTTCAGCTCTATATAATATAATCATGTCTATTTCGATGTAATTTTATCTCAGGCACAGGATGACACAGCATCTCAAGTTTTCAAAGTTGTAAAAGTTATATTAATGGGAAATAAATAGAATTTGGTTTGTGTGCATTAGAACAAATGATTGATATTAGATAGGTTACATAATACAATTTCTACAGACAATATAACAGATTTCAGACACCCATTGCTGGTGTATAGAGATTATCTAAACAGACACAGTAACTAAACCGAATGTTACAAATTGCAAATCCGAGGGCTCTGTTCTGCAAACGTTTATACTGCATTGCAAATTTTAATTAACATAGGTTAAAAATGTGAGATTTTTTTTACTCCCAATTCTGTTGTTTTGCATCAATGTTGCAAGTCTCTTGGCATCTCACCTTAGTTCAAGGTATATAGGAGTTAAGCCCTACATGCATCTATTAATAAAACGAATATCTTTGTCCTTGAGATCTGTGTGGATGCTCCCACTAGTATCATTTATCAGTTACTTAAAACAAAACACAGTAGTATTCATTTTTAACCATCTGAGGGTGAGTTCGTTTTTCCAACTATTTAACGAGGTTTAAAGATATTGACAGTCCTGTAAATAAAGATATTTAAAAACTGATAATAAATCTAATGCACTAAGCATATTCTATTACTATATTGTATGTATGTACTATTCAACCTGCTCTAGATTTTGACTATGTTTTCAATTGGCAACCTGTTTGTTTAAGGAATATGATACAAAATCATCTTAATTAATTTTACCCCAGCTAACATGTCAGATTCCATTACTTTATAATCAAATTAATTACAGAAATTAATAAAGAGAAATTGAGCACACAAGCTCTTTCTTCAAAAATAATAAATTGCAAAGCAGCATTTTATTAAAACAATATTAGAATTTATAAGGCTCCATTAAATGTCATATTCTTGTGTAGAAATAACTTAGATTGCAGTGGGAAGGATAATTAAAGAGATATTATAGTAGCTGTTTGTAAATCTGTCTGTATCTGTATGTCTGTCTGTTTGTCTAATCTATCTGTCTGTCTATCTATCTATCTATCTCTGTATCTCTCTCTCTCTCTCTCTCTCTCTCTCTCTCTCTCTCTCTCTCTCTCTCTCTCTCTCTCTCTCTCTCTCTCTCTCTCTCTCTCTCTCTCTCTTCTCTCCTGTCTAATTTCCAGCCTGTATTCAGTCCCTGTCTGTCTGTTTGCCTGCCTTTCTTTCTGTCTGTCAATGCTCGAACATGTTCCTGAACTACCAAATCTATTCACAGCAACAATCATTATCAACACACTACATGCCACTGTTAAAGTTGTTTTATTGTCAACAAAATAAAAAAGAGGAAATAGAATAGAAAAGTATATTAGAAAAGTCAATTAAGCTGTTTGGAAACTCATGCAGAAACGTGCTTGGTCTGTGCTCTTTAAAAAGAAAGCCAATTAAAATGGTTTGATAAGCATATGTATTAGAAACAAGCCTAACACAGGGGTCAGAAACAACACTAAGTAAACAGAGTTGACAGAAGAGAGGATTTTTTGTTGAGCAGACCCAGCTGTCCCAACCTCCCATTATCCTTATAAGACTAGCAGCATGTCCCCTGCTGCCCCCCTCACCAACTCAATGCACAAAAACAGATTGGGATGTTCTGCATGCGTGGACATCACTGCAACTTTACTTTTTCTTACTGCCATTTCTTTATGAATCAAGGATGTCCAGACATTTTTTTTTGTAGGTAACAAAGCCAGGCTGTAAAACAGAAGGATAAAGAAAGAATACAACAACAAAAAGTATGTCACTGACAAAAGGCTAGGAAGTAGAAAACAGAAATAAAAGTCAGTGCAAGAATTATCCTGTTAGACACTGCTTGTTTTTGTCTAGATTTGTCTTTGAGTACGGTTGGATGTATCATGGAGAAGAACAAGTGCAGTCTCACACATACTTTGCCAGGGCAAATGGCTCTTTTAACCTACTTTTGACATGGGGAGATTTGTAGCTCACAGTTTAGCTTAAACTTCTCCCTTGGAAGAATACATAAAACGAATAATAAAATATATATATATATATTATTTAAAAAAAAAACAACAACATTTTAATATATATATATATATATATATATATATATATATATATATATACATCTATATACAAACACACACACACTCCTGTTTGTTTCCTGTTCCTTAACACAAACACACACTGTTTAGTTAACATGCTCCTAGTCATTTCTATGAGAAACATTTTTTCATATAAAAAATATTTTTATTCCATGACCACAACATCAACATTTTTTGTCATATAATAATAATAATAATAATAATAATAATACAAAAACATAAAAAAAAGGTATTGTGGTGCATACATCAGACAAGTTTTTTTTAAATTTTTTTTTAACTCTGGACCCATATTTTAAAAATATTTCAATGAATGTAAGCACGTGGGTAATTCTGATTGTAATTTATCACTGGATGGATTTTTGATACCCGAAATAAAATAAATATAAATAAACAGACCATATTTCCAAGGCTTGCTGCTATTGTTTTTTTTTTAATAAAAGTTTGCTTTGTGAATAAATGTGGGCTGTAGGCTCTTGTTGGGTAACATGAGGTTAATTTATTGTGTTGGAACGTTGGGTAAATACATTAAATCTGGTTCGTTCCCACAGTATCTTGACACACGTGGTTTGGATAAATTATTGGATGTCACGAGGCACTCAAGAAATCAAGGTATGGAGAACAATTGTGAAAGCCATTACCATAGCATGGTGATTAGGCTCTCTTTAGACTTTCCCATAACATTCTAGAAGACAGAAAGCACATTAATTCACAGTAACAATGCACAGGATATATCTTATAGAAGGGAAAAAAAACGACACAAATTTCTACACAAGTCCATTATTGCAACAACTTTTACTGTCATCACATTACATTATTGTTTCATTAAATGGGTTAATATTATATAATTCCCTTTTTTATTAAAATTGTTAATTTTTTTTGGTATGAACATGCATTTATTTGTATATTAATTAAATAAAATATACAACAATCAAACTATTGTCTGTTAAAAAAATTATTGATATTTTGCTAGTACTGTTTTCATAAGATTAGTAGTTTGTTATATTTTATTTAATATTATTTTACTCTTTGAAATGTGAATTTTTTTGTATTTAGTATAATGTTGCTAATGTAGCTAATATTATTTTACTCTTTGGAATTTGATTTTTTTTGTATTTAGTATAATGTTGCTAATGTTGCTAATATTAATTTACTCTTTGGAATTTGATTTTTTTGTATTTAGTATAACGTTGCTAATGTTTCTAATAATAATTTACTCTTTGGAATTTGATTTTTTTGTATTTAGTATAATGTTGCTACAACTTTGTAGAAATGTTAAAGCTGATACTGACTAATTTTTTTTGTTTATTGATTGAGAATGTGTTTAATTTAAATATGGATGGGACTTCAATCTATATCTACATACATTGCACAACAGTTATAAATAGAGTCACAAATATTTACAAATCATGATTTAAATTCTAGGCAAATAAAAGGTATTTAAAAACTTTCACATGTTCATAATGCTCTACAAGTCCTATGATTAACTAGGAGTAATGTGAGCTGTAGTCCAAATTATCACAAGCAAGTGATGCTTGGTTTGAATGCCAGCAAAAAATAATGTTTTTTTATATACAATTTTAAATGATTGCATTTTTTTTGTGATTTGTGTGCTTTGTCTCTTTAAACATCGCAAATGGATGTATCTATAAGGAGTTAAATTCAATGCACATGTATCCAGGTGGGTGACAATAAAAAGGAATGTAGTGAATGTAATGGAATTCTAGTAATATGCATAGTTAATAGAGAGTTAATATGCAATCGTTGAGAAGAGTTCAGCAAGGTGGTCTTTTCACTAAACAACAAGTTCTAGTGAACTGATAATCAAATTAGAAATTTGAAAAAAACAAGAAACCAACAACAAGAAAAAAAGAAAATAAACGCACAATTTTAGTTTGAATATTAAAGTCAGTTCTGAAAGAACACAAAAAATATTGTGTTTTTATAAGTAGACCTTATTGTGGGTGTAACATGGATATCAGATGACTAAGTTGCATTTAGTAAGTTAAAATGTATTTTCTTGTGGGCAGAGCCTGACGGTTGAACAGAGCGGTCGCATGCTACATGGGCTCCGTGGCCATACAACGGAATTTGGCCTTTTTCAGCGACCCAAACACTAATCAAAGAGATCCAAAGTCCCACGACCGCCATGGGAAGGAAGACAAAGAAGCAGAAGTCGGACTGACCCAAACCTGGGGCCACTATAGGCGAGTTATTATGCCATGCGCAAGGCAAATACGGCCCTAAAATGGCCGCTGAACTCGACGGTTACTCCGACTCCTCAGAGGACTTACTCACTGTGAGACCTCCACAGTCAGAAATGAACTCGGGTGACACGGGACCAGTAATGACAACAATGTTAAAAGCTAGGCTGGGGGATTTACAGAAGGCTCTCCAGGCGGATGTAGCACAGCTATGTGCGGACCTCACGAGCCTAGTAGGCTGCATTGACGCAGCAGAAGCAACCTCCATACGACATTTACAAGTACGGTAAATCTGTTTTTATTAAGGTCATCAAATAAACAAAACAGTTTTCCCTCGCAGGGGATAGAGCATAAATTTCACAAACAGATTGGGAAACAGTAAGCTTTCGTATGGCTCCTTAATTTTTAATTTTTCCTGGAGCTATATGCCAAAGAATAACATAGCGCTTTTCCACTGCCAAACAGTTATGAATAAATGTAAACAGGGGCTCACCGGTCCCTTGACTATGGATGCTGAAGTGGACCACTCAGGGTCTCTAGGCAGTATGTCTAGTAACATGGGGAACAGGTGCATAGCGACATATATAAGTATGTTTGCTCAGCGTTCGTTTGTGTCATTCGTTATGTCGTCATGTTCTATGCCAGCTACTTGCTCACTAAAGGTTGATTGAGCACTCTCTTGGTGGAAAAGTATGGATCTGTTGTATGTGTTGTAGTTTTACCTGATACTGTGTTAGTATGCTCATAGTCAGTTGTGTGGAGTGAATTTGATTGTTGGTGTTGAGGCTGTTGTCAGGCATGTAGGTCATTATGTGGGTTGTTAAACCAATGTGATCCATCTCAGGGGGTCACCCCTGCAACCATAATGGATTGTTGTTTTATTTTTTTCACTGTGCCATGATTAGTAATGTAGTAAGGAAGGAGGGAAGGGATCTGTCTGGATCAGGAAAAAAGAAAGGATAGCCAAGGGGGAAAAAGAGTAGTATGATGTAGTTAGGAGGTTGAGTGGACTTATGCAGAGGGAGAAGAGGGCCCAAGAGTAGGAAACGTGGCAGGCCAACGTGCGTGGGTACCCCCAGCTAACCTCAGTCAGCATCTCCCCCTCCAATGCCCTATCTTGTGCTTGCTAGATACATATACCACGGGCGCCATTGTTCTGCATGTTTGTCGCTTTGGTTTAATAGTTCCGCCTGCTTTGCCTTGGCAGCATGGATTTCCTCCACCCTCAGCAGCCACTGAGCAGTCATTGGGGTATTTGTCTGTTTCCAAAGGGCCAGTGTAAGGATTACAGAATGATCCAGCACGTAGAATGTATAACACAGAGGACTGATAGGTAACGTATACCGGACCTTAGTATGACCGGACTAACGTACCAAAGAATAGTCAGGAATAGCCGAGGTCAAGGGAAACAGAAAGAGACACAACGACAAGGAAAAGCCAGGAGTCAGGGATGCCAGAAAAGAGGGAAGTCAAAAACAATGCCAAAGTCAAATAACCAGAATTACCAGTATCAATAACGCGCTCTCGGACAACCACAGGGGAAACCACGACAGGGCACTGAGCAGGATGAGAACTGGGCCTAAATACCCCTCCCCTAGATATGATAGGCTGTAACCGGCCTTTGACCCCAAAGTCAGTTACCAGGTTCCCATTTGCATAATTGCTGATCAGCATTAACCCTTCTGTGGATTTGGTTGCTGCTCTGCACAACTTTTCCTGTGTGGACAGTAAATGTCATTAACCAAATTTTTATAAGCGGATGAATACGTGACAGCCAGCACCAATGATTTGGCTGCATTGATCAGATGTCGCAAAATCGATTTTTTGTATCGTGAGATGGGTAGTTTCGTTGAGTGCAGAAGCACATAACGAAATCGAAGTCCAGGTGTCTCCCTCAGAATCTCTGCCGTTATGGCTTTGATCTCGTTCCAGTATGGCGATGTCCTAGTGCAATCTCACCAGATATGTTGCGTGGTCCCCACCCCTGCCTCTCACCTCCAACAGATGTTAGATACCATTGGGAATATCCTGTGGAGCAGGGGTGGAGTACAATACCATTGTGAGAGTAATTTATAGTTTACCTCTTGATATTTGGAGCTAATTGAGCTTTTATGTTGCAGGATGAGAATTCTCTCCCATTGGGCATCGGAGAAAGATTGAGACGTTATCTCCTCCCATTGTCTTTTAAAGTAGTCCTTGCGATCTAGGTTACCTACCAAAAGCCAGTGATATAGGGTGGAAACACCGGAGTCTGAACTAGCTGCGCTCCTGCAAAGCTCTTCAAACCAAGTTAATTCCCTGTGTATTTTTGTTTTGTTTGGTAGGTTGGAATAGAAATGCTGTAGTTGTGAGTAGCGGAATTGCTGCATAGGGGTCAGTGGTATACCGATCACCAGGTCGCAGAGGTCTCATACCCCATGTTTGTAAGTGCTTGTTGGAGTGGTATGAGTTCTGTGTGTTGTGCAAATGTCCGTGCATGAGGGGGGAGTCCTCCACCCAGCTCTCTGTTATACGTCAAGGGTATCAGCGGGCTCGGCCTTGGGGCTAGGTTCTGTTCATGCCTCACCTTGTTCCACACTTTCAGTGTATTCGAGATAGGTGAGGTGCGTGTCAGGGCTGGTGTGGTGTCTATGTCCTTATACCACACTGATGTGTATAGCGTATTTATTGGTGCTTGCCTTATCTAAAGCGACCCATAGTATGTGAGCTGGGGCTTCGTGCCATTCGCATATTCATTGTAGGACCATTGCTTGGTGGTATTTTCGTAAGTCTGGTAGGAAGGGAAGTTATCATCATGGGTGACTTTAATCTTCCTGATGTAAATTGGAAAACAAAATTAGCTACTTGTGCCAGGAGCACACATATTCTAAACTCCCTACTGGGATTGTCTCTAAAACAAGTTGTTGAGGAGCCAACTCGTAAAGAGGCCATACTAGATTTAGTGTTAACAAATGGAGATTTGGTATCAGATGTTACTGTAGGTGAAAGTTTAGGATCCAGTGATCATCAGTCAGTGTGGTTTAATATAAGAACAGTGACTGAGTCACACCACACAAAAACAAAAGTTTTAGACTTTAGAAAAACAGACTTTTCTAAAATTAGAATATGGGTAGAGGAGTCATTATCAGACTGGAGCAATTTAAATGGAGTCCAAGAAAAATGGGATTATTTAAAAGTTGCACTATTGAAGGCAACAGAGAATTGCATTAGGCTTGTCAGTAAAAGCAAAAAATTCAAGAAACCACTGTGGTACTCCGCAGATGTGGCCAAAATAGTTAAAAACAAAAAGTTAGCATTTAGGAATTATAAAAAAACCCAGAGTGAGGAAGACAAAATGATCTATAAGATTAAGCAGAAAGAGGCTAAGCAAGTTATAAGAGCTTCCAAATCACACACAGAAGAGAAAATAGCACAGTCAGTAAAAAAGGGGGATAAAACATTTTTTAGATACATAAATGAGAAAAGAAAAGTAAAACAAGGATTAGTTAGATTAAAAACAAAAGAAGGAAGGTATGTAGAAGAGGATAAAGGTCAGGCTGACTGCCTCAATTAATATTTTTGTTCTGTATTTACAGAAGAAAATGAAGGAAAGGGACCTCAGAGAAAAGGGATAAATGAGTCATTTATTACACGTGAGTTTACAGAGGACGAGGTTCTATTACAACTGTCAAAAGTAAAGACAAATAAGTCAATGGGACCTGATGGAATACACCCAAAGCTATTAAAAGAGCTTAGTGGTGTACTAGCAAAACCATTAACAGATTTATTTAACCAATCATTGTTAACAGGAGTAGTCCCAGAAGATTGGAAGTTAGCGAATGTTGTGCCCATTTACAAGAAAGGTAATAGGGAGGAGTCGGGCAACTATAGGCCAGTAAGCCTTACTTCAGTAGTGGGGAAAGTGATGGAAACCATGTTAAAGGATAGGATTGAGGAACATCTAAAACACATGGATTTCAAGATCAGAGACAACATGGGTTTACTTCAGGGAGATCATGCCAAACTAATCTTATTGATTTTTTTGATTGGGTAACTAAAATTATAGATCAGGGTGGTGCAGTAGACATTGCTTACCTAGATTTCAGTAAGGCTTTTGACACTGTTGCACATAGAAGGCTTATCAATAAACTGCAATCTTTAAGTTTGGATTCCAATATTGTTGAATGGGTAAGGCAGTGGCTGAGTGACAGGCAACAGAGGGTTGTAGTTAATGGAATATATTCGAAGCTTGGACTTGTCACCAGTGGGGTACCTCAGGGATCTGTACTTGGACCCATTCTCTTTAATATTTTTATTAGTGATATTGCAGAAGGTCTTGATGGTAAGGTATGTCTTTTTGCTGATGATACTAAGATATGTAACAGGGTTGATGTTCCAGGAGGGATAAGCCAAATGGCAAATGATTTAGGTAAACTAGAAAAATGGTCAGAATTGTGGCAACTGACATTTAATGTGGATAAGTGCAAGATAATGCATCTTGGACGTAAAAACCCAAGGGCAGAGTACAGAATATTTGATAGAGTCCTAACCTCAACATATGAGGAAAGGGATTTAGGGGTGATTATTTCTGATGACTTAAAGGTAGGCAGACAATGTAATAGAGCAGCAGGAAATGCTAGCAGAATGCTTGGTTGTATAGGGAGAGGTATTAGCAGTAGAAAGAGGGAAGTGCTCATGCCATTGTACAGAACACTGGTGAGACCTCACTTGGAGTATTGTACACAGTACTGGAGACCGTATCTTCAGAAGGATATTGATACCTTAGAGAGGGTTCAGAGAAGGGCTACTAAACTGGTTCATGGATTGCGGGATAAAACTTACCAGGAAAGGTTAAAGGATCTTAACATGTATAGCTTGGAGGAAAGACGAGACAGGGGGGATATGATAGAAACATTTAAATATATAAAGGGAATCAACACAGTAAAGGAGGAGACTATATTTAAAAGAAGAAAAACTACCACAACAAGAGGACATAGTCTTAAATTAGAGGGACAAAGGTTTAAAAATAATATCAGGAAGTATTACTTTACTGAGAGGGTAGTGGATGCATGGAATAGCCTTCCAGCTGAAGTGGTAGAGGTTAACACAGTAAAGGAGTTTAAGCATGCGTGGGATAGGCATAAGGCTATCCTAACTATAAGATAAGACTAGGGAGTAATGAAAGTATTTAGAAAATTGGGCAGACTAGATGGGCCGAATGGTTCTTATCTGCCGTCACATTCTATGTTTCTATGTTTCTATGTTAAGTCCTCCCCATTGGTAGAGGAATCTGGGCAGGATGTTAATTTTC